GGTCCCGCAGCAGCAGTTCCCTGTTTGGGGAAGTTGGCGCTGGGTGTTTGAGGTGTGTGAGCCTCTGTGCTGCCACTGCGAGCGAGCAAGCTGCCCTGACGAGCGAGCTGCCCTGAAGAAGCTGGGCATGTCCTCCCTGAGCCTGTTTGAGCTCTCTGAGCCCATTTACGCTTCTGGCTTCTGCGATGTCCTGGGGCAGTTTTGCAGTTTTAGGTGTGCTCTGCCTTAAAAACTTTGCACTAAGCTCCTACCTGGTTGGGCCACGGAGCACCTCATGGCTTGTGGGGTGGGTAGCGGGGACTGCCTGCTCCCCCTTCCCACGCTGTTGGGGGCTGCATGGCCTGCGTGGCCCCCCAGCTCCGGAGGCCTTTCCCGAGCTGGTTCCCTGCTCTGTGCAGGCTCCCCACCTCCCCGTGTGCCGTTTCAGCCTGCCTGGGTGTGCTTGGAGGGTAACGAGAGCTGGGTGCAGTGCTCGAGGAATGCGAGGGTTTGTACAGCGCTGTCTTGGTTTTAATATTAAAAGTTTTACCGTGGTAGTATTAAACTTTTAAAATGGAAACTACTTAAAAGCAAGGATGTTAATTAATAAAAAAAAAACATTGTCAAGAGTGGTTATCAGCATATTTGAAAAAAAAAAAAGGCCCAATGGCATTTCCTAATAATGTGTGGCCTTTTTGGCTATCGCTCATCACTGAGAGTTTTTTGGACAAGTACCCAGTGCCAGAAAGCTGAGCCCCTGCCTCACACAGGCACCTAGTGTTGTCCCCTCCCTCATGCGTTGCCTAAGCCACCTCGGCACTAGGGGCACAGCCTCGTCCCCTGCTTGTCCCACAGTGTCTGGAGCCACAGGGCAGCGTGGGGGCCACGGAGCAGGCCGTGAATGGTGGGATTGTGGGGCTGTGGTGGAGAGGAAGAGATGAGAGAGATGTGGAGGAAGGTCTGGTCTCTGGGTACCTGATGCAGCTCGGGGCCACTGCCAGCTCCCTTGGAGCTGCTCTGGCAGCAGTGGTCACACATGGCAAGTGCTCATGGTGCTGCCCTGCGGGTGGCCCCCGTGCTGTGCTAGCCCCCATGCAGGAACATCGTGGAGCAGACGTGGGGTTTGGAGGATAGCACCCAGCCCCACATCCCCTGGGGTCTGCCTGTGCCTCTCTGCATGGTGAGTGTGTGGTCCGGGGTCTCCCATCTTAGGTACATGAGCGCGTCCCAATAGCCTGAGGGACTGTTCCCCTGTGCTCTTCGGACAGGCTGCTGCTCTTTTCAGGGCTTTGCTTTGCACTAGTTAGGCAAATCCTGCCCCTCTCAATGTCTGAAATTCACCTTTTTGGTGCTGAGGCCTGGAGAGGACTTGTTGCCTTGCCGAAGGCCTATCTGTGCCCGGGGTTTCTTCTGGTGAAGCTCCCTGACTGGGCTTGAAACATGGCCCATCGCTTGGGCACTTGGGTTATTGGGACCTCTCCCAGGCCCACAGCAGCGCCAGCTCACACGGGTAGCTCTCGCCAAGAGGACTGGAACCGCTAGCTCTGGGGATGTGGGACCCCGTGCTGCCTGCAGCTGCTCCTCTGGCCAAGGTGTCCCCTGGGCTGAGCCCCACAGGCACAGCAGGACCCCAGAGCTCTTGGCCAGCAGGAAGGAGAAGCCGGGAGAGCACAACGAGGTTACAGCCTGTCGCCTGCAGCAAGGGTATGCTTGGGGTCATCCGGAAGGCCCTGCCCAAAGCCCCGAACGAGTACAAAAGCTCTGAGCTGCGAGCTGTGCATGTGCAGCAGATCCAGCTGAGCTGTGAAACTGCACGGCTAGGCAAGGATTTCAAACAGCTATCTTCCACCTGCAGGGAGAGCTGGCTGGGGCTTGGGGCAGGAGACTTTTTCTCCTTGAGAGCTGAGATGGAAAAGGAACATGTTGAAGAGCTGTAGAGAGGGGCTGTAAAGGTGCCTAGGCAAAATTCCTTGAGAACTGGGTCTAATACCCGATTTTCGCCCTGTAACCTTTTTTTTTCAGCTTGTGTTCAAGAGTAGAGACTGATGTGAGGCTAGAATAACACCAGCTAGTTTTATCCTGTGTTGGAGGCAAATGGAGATGTGATACATGGGGTCTTTCAGCTCTGCGGAGGGATTCAGCCTGAATGAAAAGGGATGTAGGAAGACATATGGGGACCCTTTGCCTGGACAGTCTGGTGCCAAAGTCAGGCAGCCGGGGAGGGTGCTCTCAGGGCCAGGCTGTGAACAGGAATGCCCTCTAGCAGCCAAGGGACATCACAGAGCTCCTGCAAATCCCAGAGTACCACTGGGGAGCAGAGGCAGAACAGTTTGGAGAGCCAGGACCCCAGGAGCCCTCCTCATTCCAGGGTGGCAGGGACATCCAAGAAGACATCGCGCTCTCCTGGTGGTCATTCAACAGTGATGGGGTGGGGAGACGAGCTCCATCCCACAGATCTCCCTGCAGTGACTTGCCCCTCCCCCACTGCCAGCCCTGGTATTCACTGCTCTGCGTTTCCATCCCTGGCAGGAGGCTAAGCCTCATGATGATGCTGGCTCGAGGGAGCAAGGTGAGTCTGTAGCTGCTTTATCTGCCTGTGCCAGTGACCCAGGCCCTGGTACTGTGGGAGCCCAGGGTGAAGATACCTCACAGTCTTGTCTGCCACCACAGGTGGAATGTGGGGTTGCACCTGGAGGTAGCTTCTCCATCTCTGGGGGCTCCAGAGCCCACACAAGCTTCAAACTGCTTGGTGGAAGAAGGAACCTCCTCCCCAGGGCCAGATTTATCCATACCTGTGGATGAAAAATAGCCCAGCCACTCACTGTCCTGACTGGGACATGACTGTTGAGACAGTAGAGGAAGGAGTTAGCAGAGCAGATGGATGCCAGTGTGCCAGCTGGGGAGGTAGCTGGAAGCCTTCTGGGCTGGGCTTGATGTCCATGTTGGGGAGAGCAAGCCCGGCCAGTGTCAGCTTGCCCTCCCTCTGCGTTTCTTTCAGATGTGCCTTTTCTGCAAGCTTACAGAAGTAGCTTTTGTTAGCCGTTCCTGGTGACTGTGAATGTTTACTCTGAGTACCCCAACGAGGTCAGCTACGTCTACAAACCCTCCTGTGTCGCTGTGCAATGCTGTGGAGGCTGCTGTGGAGATGAGGGACAATGCTGTGTCCCCATGGAGACAAAGATGGTCACCATGGAGGTAAAAGCCAGGCTCCTAAGAGCTAGACGGTTGTGTTTCATTCCCTCAGTGGGACCCTGCTCACTGCCAGAGGCATGCTGTTGCCCTCGTAAAAGGAATGGGAAAGACTCCATCCCCAAAGCCGGTGGTGAGCAGAACAACCCCACGCTGATCCTTTGCAGGCAGGCAGCAAATGCCCCAGCCCCAGGGCTCCCAAATCACACGTCCTTCTCCTGCCTGCACACCCCTTGAACACAAGCAGCTGTCTCATGGGAGCAGTGCACCACTGGGTTATCGGTGCGCCTTGGCTCTCTGCAGCTCCCAGCACTACGGAGCAAAGGTTTGTTTAATATGGCTTAAAGTAAAGAGCCAGAGCTACAGCAAGAAGGTTTGGAAAGAGGGATATAGGGAAGACAAAACATAAGCTGGACTCCAGGTCGCACTAGGAACAAAATCTTGTATTTTTGGGGGGTGTCCCAGAAATGGTGATGGGGAGATCAGCCCAGAGAGCCTATGTAACAGCTTTGCTGGTAACTTCTGACTTCCTCAATCCTGGGGTGCTGGCTGAGCATTGTCTCTCCTTCTCCTGCTTCTCTCAGACATACTGGTCCAGGTTTCCTGTGTATCTCAGTGCAAAGAAAGAGGCATTGAGTTTCTAAACTCTTGGTTGCGATTAACAATATTTTTTTATCCCTATAAAGCTGTGCACAGCCTTTCTGCTCGTTTCAGTGAGCAATATCTGTGGTCTCCAGTGAGTTTTGAGCTCTTGCCAGCCTTCATGCAGGTAATTTAGACTGATTGTGAGAAAAACAGCAGCTCTCACTCTCCTCCCCACTATTCATATTTGTTGTTCTTGCTTTGGAAGTTCCCACCCCACCACAAGGGCCATGGGTTCTTCAGCAGGTTGGTCTAATAATAACCCCTAGAGTTTAACATTCTCCAGACAGCACAGCCCTGGGAAACTTGAAGCCCAGAGATTAAGGGCCACCGTGCCTCAGGGGTCATGTCTGGTATTTATCTTCTCCGCTCAAGAGGCTCTTCCTTACAGGCTAGTCCTTTGGGATACTTCTCTTGGGTGACTTTGGCTCACTCTCTTCTGTGCTTCCCACTCCTTGTCCCATCCTCATTGCTGACTGCTGCCACATTTCTGGACCTTGCCAGTTCAAAGACGGAGCGCTGATGTGGATGTTGGCAAGGGGGTTGTCACCATGGTGTGCAGGACTGCTGTGGTACAAAAGAAAAACCTTCCTAAAGCAGTGAGGTGTTGCTGGGTCTCCATCCCGGGAATGCCAGGGGGTCTGTGTGGGGCCAGACTGTCCCACCAATGGCCCTAGCAATGCTGACGGGAGGAACATGTGGGTTCACCTCTCCTTGGAGTGTAGAGGGGCCGGGTCAGTGCTGGGGCAGGACAACAGAGGAACTGTGTGTCTGGGATGCAGGGGAAGGGGCTCTGGAGTATCCCGGACAAACCACCATTCAGCTTTCTTTCCCCTAGGCTGGGCGGAGCTGCCCTCCCACAGCCCTGTCCAAAATCAGCCCTGCAGTTCTGGCAAAAAAGCAGTAGTCATGGGGATGGCCCTGCACTGCCAAGGAGTGACTGCTGCTACCCCTCCAGCTCATGAAGATTGCTCTGGGTATCAAAGAGAGTAACGTGGTCAAAATGGACTTTTTGGGCACACAAGCAGTGTGAATGCACTGTGCTTTGCCGTGCCCCTCACCTCACAGGCCTCAAGGCTGCCCTGGGTCTGCAACCACCAAGCTGCCTTCTTCCCCTCCCTGTCGCCCTGCTCTCCTCCCCACGGCCCTGTGTGGGTACCTGCCAGCAGCAGTCCTCACACTCAAGGTCCCCTGTGGGCCAGTAGCTGTGACTGCTGAGGACTAAGTGAACCCAGCATTTCCCAAGTTCAGCCCTACTCATCTCTGCAAAGCTCCACTCCCCAGTGAGCCCCAGGAGGTCATTGCGGGCTCCCAAAATGAACAGCCACTTCCTTTGGCTGGGTCGGCCTTGGCGGACACAGTGACTTGTCAAATCACTGATTTCCAGCTTCTCCCTTTACTTCCCCAGGACACACTGGTTACCAGAAGCAATAAAACTCTTTAAATACATTCCTGATGTGACTTCGGCCACAGGATGTTTTATCATTGCAAGGGATAAAAGATGCGTTTGACAATGAAGTCACTTAAGTTTTGTTCCCCTCCCTGTAAGGGTCTGCAGACTCCTCTTCACATATTTCTCTAGCACTATTACCCCTAATAGCCAAACTTTACAGATCCCTTATGCAGGGTTTTGTATTCTACCTGTGCTCTCTATTCCTTCCAGGCCTATATAGATCAGCTGAAGTCAGGAAGGTGAGTCACGTTAGCAGAGGCTCTACATCTAGGGCCCCGTCTCAATTCCTGCCTGTTCAGACTTTTCTCTTGAAGGAGGACACCCTGGGCTTTGGTAGGAGTAGAAAGGCTCTAGACATTGTGAAGTATAAATGAGCTGGGCAGAAAAACAAGTCTCTGTTAGGTTAATATTGGTGGAGTAAATGGCAAAAATGTCTGCTGTGTCTCTGTCACTGAGCAACACTAATCAGGTAAACATGCTAACAATTCTGAGATACAAGTATCGTGGGTTGCTTTGTCCTGTGGTGAAGCACACACAAAAAAAGTTGGACCAGAGCCTGTAAGTCTCATGAGAGCTAAAAAAAAACAAGAAAATGTATCATATTTGGTCAGTGGGTTGTCTTACAAAATAGGCCCAATTAAATCTTATCAGAACTGTCCCCTAGGCAATGTTAGGCTTTTGCACTCTCAAGGAAACGGCTTTAGTAAGAACGAGAGTTTGTCTGGTTGTTGAATGCTGAGCTGAGCAGTATGCATGGCTGTTGCTTTTTCTGTTTTGTTGTTAACAGAACGGTCAACCCTGACAGAGCTGTTGGAGGGGAGCTGAGCCAGGGGAAATCCCCCGCCATGCAGCAGGACAGTGCCAAAGGGATGCTCCCTTTGGGCATCCTGGTCCGGCTCTGGACCCTTCACTCCCCTCCGAGCTCAGGTGCCATCTGGTCACTGTAGTCAGGTCTGTCTCCCTGGGGAAGGCTGAGGCCTGGCAAAATTAGTCCTACGGCAAGTACGGACTTTTTCAGAAGAGACTGAACACAATAACTGTCTCCAGATGGCACAGCTGCAATGGCACAGCATGGAGCCAGCTACTGTCAAAGTGAAATTGCCTTTTTTGGAACATTTCCCGTTGAAAAGTGACAGGCCCTCAGGTTAAGAAAGGAAGGGCAAAAATGCAGATGCCTACCTCCTAGTAACAGACATTAGTCTTTCTTAGGTCTGACAGCGTATCATTGGGATTTCATTCTAGCTTTTCTTTCTTTGCAGGCCTCCTATCACGTCTCCAGAATGGATGCTATTTGGACCTGGACTGACCATTCCACAGATGCAGTAAATAAATTGGCCCGAGCCATAATTGGTTGATCATTCCCAATTCAGCAAATGTCCTTTGCTAATAGTTGCAGTGATCTAGAGGGCCCTGCAGTCCTGGCTTTCCAAGAAAAAAACAGAAAAAACAGGCCAGGAACACATGCTTCTAGGTTAAGCTGAAGAACGGTATTTTCCATGTGAACAGTATTGGCTGGGCTCTTGACTACACTGTCATTTTGCTGGGGCTTAATGCATTGGTGCCAGCATTTCCTGTTGCATGTATTTGAATTAAGTTTGTAAAACCAAATAAGTTAGCAGGAGTTAGTAAAATGGCCAACCAAGAGCCCAGGTTTAGAAGGGCAACAACATTCCTTTGCAACATGCAAATAAAAAAAAAGAATTTGCATTCATTCATTAAATGAGATGGGGAAAAATATATGTAAAGAGGTATGGTAATTCATTTGCATTCCTCTTGTGTTAAAGAGGTTGGCAGGGAACTGTCTGGAACAAGTAGGCCCTTATTGATGTAGGTAGATGAAAAAGCTATTTAAAACATAGCTAATTATGATTATACGAAAAAGTAAAGAGGGTTGTAAAGCCAGTATTTAAAGGATGAAAGCTTTATTAATTAAAGAGAATTTATGGTGAATAATGATTACAATAAAACAAGAATACTAATGAAAATAAGTTAATAGTGATAAAGGGGTAATACTGATAAATATATGGGTAAGATCTGTGACTGATGTTATCTATTGATGGTTATGGAATTCAGAATTGAAAAAAGTTTCTAAATTAGTTACAATAAGAACAGTTATAATACTGGTTATTTACACCCTATTTTCAAAAGCATGAATGAGAAGCAGCTCAATGTTTTCCGGTATATCAGAAAATATCATTAAGGATAATGAAGAACATAGGATTTGTGACAGTCAATTCTAGTCAAGATTTATGTTACCTACATGAGAGTAATGTAGTATCAAGACCCTTTCTTGCAGCATTCAAAGTGTTTTGACCTTGTTTGCCATAAACCAGATATATTTTACTTCGCTGCTAGCGATTCATTCAATACATCACCTAGAAGTGGTGACAGAAATCCGGTCTGTGGTGGCCTACCATTAAGAAACCCAAGTTTAAGAAATCCTGCAGCTGACATAGCAAACTGTGGAGGACTTCAGAGCATCTGCCGCTGTCGTGTGCGTTTGGGTGCAGAGGCAGGGTCCCAGCTGGGTTCAGTGATCTCCAAGGACAGCAGGTAGCAGCGGCCCGGTCTCTCTGACCAGACCGGTTTCGGCGGCGAGACAGGACAGGTCTCGCTTCCACGCAAGGTGTACGCCGCGCTGCGATGCACCGCGGGCGCGAGGGCCCGCAGCGAGTGGGCGGGCGAGCGGCCACCTCC